TCGGCAGCAGCCCTGCTCTTACAGGGGCTGCAAAGCCAAGCTTAAAATGCAATATTGATTTTTTTTTTTGTTTTTGTTTTTTTTTGGCTCACAGGATGGTGTTTTGCATGCCGGTTTTTGTTCACTCGGAGTTGTGGGAGGTTTTTATTTTTTTAAACCCACCCCCCCCTCCCCCCTTCCTTTCAGCTCACCTTTTCTTATAAATGTTTGCTGAGGTAGGGAACGCAGTAAAATTAGCTGCAATGGCCAGAGGGCTGTTGTCCTTGTATCACCCAAATTAATATTCTGGAGCACATCATTTCCGCGGGGCGGTTTCTTCCAGTGCAGTTGAATGGATGGAAGTGGGACTTTCCACTTGACAAGCACAATTCCGGTAAGTGCAGGGTGGGAAGATCAGATGCGCAGAGAGAGGAAACTTTGGGTGAAGGCGCTTGTCTTGATAACTGTGAGAGCAGGAACGCCCTTATCCCAGTGCCTGTCTAGGGAAGGCGGTGGGATGGGATGGGGATGGCCGTGAGTCATCTCCCGGTACGCTGCCCGGTTCTCCCGCGCAGGAAGGGCTCGCTTCTGCGGCTGACGGTGCCGGGATGGACCACACCGAAACCCCTCGTGCACCGAGCCTGGCGTACTGGGGCCACCTCAGACCTTATCTCCAGGTCCCTGCGGATAAGCAGATTTCCCTCCCGCTGCAAAACTTGGCTGCTGTGCCACTGGCTTTGCTCAGCATGGGTGCTCGGTCAGCCCGGGCAGCGTGTGCTTTTTGCTGCAGCTACTTTACCCAGCCTGGCGGGAACATGAGCCAAAAGGATTTCCTGAAGATAAACAATTCTAGGCCACATGTTGAGGGTTTCTCTCCTGACTGGGTGGATTGCACTGATCCAGTATCCTAGTGTAACTGCCTGCAGCCCCAAGGATAAATCTGTTGGTTACTGTAGTATCCGGAGAAGAAAATACTCCGAATGGCATCTGGGGCACGTGGAGCTGGTTTTGGCTGTGGAGCAAGGGGTGAAGTAGGTGATTTCTCTCTCTCTTCCCCCTTTTATCTCCTGCTACTTCTGTGGAAACATTTCTCTGCAGCACAGCAAGGGGAGAGTTAGAAAACCACAGCTTTTACTTTTTTGGAGTGGAAAAACTTAATCTGAACCAGCGTGGACGAGCAGCATGGGGGGGGGCTGGGACCTTGGACCTTGGGTACCCATTGCAGGGGCTGATGGCACCCCACGATGCTGGTGCAGGGCTCGGTCACCCCCTGATGCCGGTCTGGGGCTTGGCCACCCCCTGCAGCCTGGCCCTGCCCTCCCATCCCGCCCGGTGGCTGTCGCGTGGGAAATACGACGGCCTCCCTGGGGGAAAGCTTGACCTGGGGGGGGATGGGGGCTGGGCAGGCCTGGGTACCAGCCCCTGCTTCTGGGTTGCTGCGGTGATGTACACCCTGGCAGGGGGGACCTGCAGCCTCTGCCCCCGGCGGGAGGGCGGCCAGGCGGGCTGGCTTCCCGGGGGGAAAGGGAAGAAACTGCTCTGGGAAACGGGCTCCTCGCCAGTCAGCCGGCAGCCCGGCTCTGAAATGCTGGGAAGACTTAGAAAGGGGAGAAATGTCTTTAGGTGGCAGAGGTCAGAGTAACATCTGGCTGAGCTGGGATGCATAACGTAGTATTTAGGGCTTTTATTTGTTTCCATAACTGAAGAGCTCAGGCTTTCAGAGGACCAGAAAGCAACGAGAAAACCAACAAATTATAGCTCTGCTGGCTGATGCAAGCATTGACAATTGCAAACTTGGAGGTTTTTTTCCAGTTTGCTCCTACTTTGATTTTTGTCAGGGCAAATCACTGCTCTGCAGAGCTTGCTGCCCTGCTAAAATAGCTGCCGATGAGCAGACATATGTGCACAGCTTGAGCTGGGGAAGGGAGGGAGGAAGAGGTTTGAAGACGGGAAGGCTTTGTTCTATTTGGTTTGTGGCCTCTACAAAACGTTTGGACTCTTATTCAAAGTCCTTTTTCTGTTCTCGAGTCTGAAGTGTTCCTATGAGCCTGAATTTGATATGCCGGCAGCACGCTGGTCAAACTTTTCTTTTTGACTGCCAAAAATAAAAATATGCTGCCTGCATTTCAAGATGAGCGATGGTTTCATAACCCTGGCTGCCAACAGGGCAGGGAAAAAGAGTTGAGATCCTGAAAACTTCCAAAGGTCGGTGGTTATGTTTGAACAGGAGCAACAGATTATCCACAAAACGGCAGCGCTGAAGTAATGCTATCCCAGTCGATACCTGCTGTCTTCGGTCTGGGTTTGGCTTTCTGCATCATATGTGAACCTGACTTTCTGCAAAGCGCTGCTGAACTGAAGCTGTGATTAGGGACGATGTGGCATATTTGCTGGGAAGATGCAGTACTGCGTGATTTGTGGCTAGGCTGCCCTCAGATGGAAAAACACGACCAAACAAACCAAACCAAACCCCACATCAAAAAAGCTCTTTTTGGCTGTCAACCCTGTGCGTGGCACTCCCCGAGTCCGGGAGAGGGCTGGGCCCTCCTGTAAATTTATTATTTGGGGAAAAACACCCTTGTATTTCCTCTCTCCGCCCATCTTAAATCATTCAAGTAGCCCTTTTCCCCGTTCTCCCCGCCCCGCCGTCTCTCTGCTTTTATTGGTGGCTTTGTTGGCTAAGTCAGCTTTTCCAGGAAACTCAGCCTGGTTGGGCTCTGCTGTTCTCCAGTCCCTCGTCCTTGGTGAAGGTGACCTTCCTGCAAGCCCACATGGTGAGGCAGCACGTCCTTGGGACAAAGGAGACATGGGGATGGGCTCTGGCAGGGGCCCCTCGTGTCGCTGGACGCACCCCGACTTGCGTTAAGGATGGTGCGACCTGGGTCGATGATGCTCTGCTAGAGCACATCATCCGCCGCTTTGTCATCCCCAACAGGGGACCAGGGACGAGGTCTGGGTGTTGAGCCCCATCATGTGCTGACCATGGTCTGAAAAAAAAGTATTGGTCCTTTTCCCATGGCTCCTCTTTTGCTCTTGCTTGTTGTTCTGCCTGGTCTGGGGGCTCGCGTGGTTACCCCCTGCTGCCCCCCGCACCTCGGCTGGAGCCGGCTTGCCCCCGGCAGTCACTCCTTGGCGACACTGTTCTTTCTCTGCTTGAAATATCAGTAGGAGCTTCAGCCTCAACGGGGGAGAAGGAATACTGGTTTAAATTTCAACCTTTTGCTTTCCCAAGGTACTGGCTTTCCCTCTTCCACTTGGGGATGAGCAGCAAAAGTCCCCGCCGGTGGGAAACGAGCTTGGAGCTGTGCTCACCTTCAGCCCTTTCTCCTGGACCTATGAGCTCTTAGTATTTTAAATGTAATGTTGTTTTTTTTTTCCCTGAGGACTGTGCATGTTATTGATCCTTTCCCGCAGGCGTAGGGGAGAGCGGTGGCGTTGATCCCGATCGATGGAGTTCTCTCTATAAATCGAGACATCTGCCTAAAAATGTGGTCGGTGTGGGTAAGCATAATCCGAGCTGCTAAATTATTAAGGGTTTTCTCAAAGCATCGCTTGTACTTGCATAGAAATGACTAAGGACAAAGAGTAATAGAAAAATTGGCAAGAAAAATTTCAATTAAAAATATATCGGTTGGGCAATGAGGTCGGTGTGCTGAGCGACTTTCCGAGACTGCCAGGCGGTTTGGGGAGTTTATGGTAAATTTACAGAGGCTTCTTAAAATTGTGGATGTGTTTTTCTTGGTTCTTCTGGGGCTAAATGAAACGGGAGCTAGAACAGGCTGTTTTGGGAGGTGGTATTTTTGCTGGCTTTTTTTGTAAATCAGGTCGTCTTCTCTACTACTTTTATGATAAATGGAACAATACAGGAGTGATTAGACTTTAAACTATTCATGAGATCCAAGACAAGTAATGTGATTTAATCTTTCGTCTGCATATATTTAATATAAGCTGTGATTTCATTCAAATGTTTGAGCTTTGTACTTGTACTGTGTAATTATCTCTGGTTTTAGCAGACGACTTTTTTTTTAAAATGCCTGTGGTTTTTATTAGATCTTTTTTCTTTAAGTTATTTGTGTTTACTTTGTGGCTTGAACATATCTTCAGCAAACAGAAAAGGAGTTTCTTTTGATGGGTTAGTTCTGGTTTAGGTGCTTTCTGAAACTGTAGTAAATCAAATGGTGGGTTTTTTTTTTTTCCCACCACTATTTTTTTCTGGAAATGGGGCCAGCAGGTAGCACAGACACTTGTTTTCCGTATGGGGGACATAATTAAACACTGTGTTTTGCAGGTGCCCTAGAAATAGCCCACTTAGAGTGGCTCCTTGTCAACGGCGGCTGCAGAGCCCAGGTTCACCTCTCCTGTTGAACTCTGTCTAACTCCATTAATTTTTACCCAGGCTTGCTAATTTTTACCCAGGTTTGCAACTTTTATCAAGTGCCGGCCGGGTCCTGTACATGGTGCTGTACATGGATTCCCAGAAATTTGGGAGGGCGAAGGGTGAAGAGGCGCCTCTCCAGGAGGCAGGTGGGAGCTGTTGTGCTGGGACAGGACACGTTTGTGGGAGAAGGGCGCAGATGGAGAGGGGAAGAGGCACAAGAGGCGTGCTCAAACTCAGGTGAAGAATTTGGGGAGTGCTGTGGGCTGCAAATGTAATTCCGCCATCTCTACGTAACGCTCCAACAGCTTCAAGTCATAAACGATGTTGGGTCGTTAGCTGCATCCATGGACTTCTTTAGCCTTGGTCTGATGCCTTCAAATTGTACCTGTTCCTAACTTCTCAAAGACAAGTTTATAGCAAAACACCAAGCCTCAGCTAACCTTCCATGGGCATATTGATGTGTGTAGATGGGCTTTTTAAATTTGGACAACGTAAGAAAATCGCCATTATCCCTAATGCCTTCTTTTCAGAACTGCTTCTTCTGGCAATAAGTGGGCTTTATACAAAGTTGAAAGTACAGGAAGGTTGGGTTACATCGAAATGTTGTACAGAAATACGTGCTGTATCTGAATTTCTCCATGGCATGAGGAAGACTGTAGCGCGGCAGCAGCGCTTTGCCCTGCCGTGCGTGCAGCAGAGCATGCGCGCCCGCATCGGTGGCGACAATGCGGTTATTCATTACTGCAGCCTGGGCGCCTGGTCCTGCCCGAGGTGGGAAGCGAAGCCAGAGAGCTGCCAGCTTGGGAAGATGTTCCTGGCAGAACAGCTTTGCTAGCCTCATCTTTATCTCCTGTGATTTGTGTTTGACTCTCTGGCTGTTGTCTTCCAGCTGAGCTCCTTCAGGGGAAATTGTGTTTGGATGCCCTGCTGAGAGGTTGACTTGCTGATGGGCTTGGTTAGACATTGGGGAAGTGGAGCAGGAGCCCTGAACCGAAGCTTGAAACATTGCAGGAGAGACCTGCATCTTTGGGGCTGATCTTCGAGTGATGCAAACAGGATAGTGGCTCTTCTCAAAAATAACTCCTTCTCTCCCTCCTCTCGATTCCCGAGGTGTGCGGTGTCCCCCAGCGTGCTGCTTTGTGTCTGCCCGCTGCTGGGAGCTCTTCTGGGTTGCTGGGGCACAGTACGGCAGAGAGGGGACTGGGGTCACCTACCAGCATCCGCAAATCCTCATGGCTTGGTGGGAGGATGCAGTGCGGCTTCCCACTGCGCGGTCCCGAGGCCGTGGGCAGTCTGGCACCGCTAATCCCTACGGATAGCTCTGGTTCTCCCAGCGCTCCTGTAAACACCATGCCTTGGGCAGAGGGAGGTCATAAAGTGCATATGGGGAGGTTGCAATTGTTTATTTTCTTAAATAATCCTTTAGGCATGCCCGGCTCTAAACAGCAGAAGAAACTCTGGCTTTTGCTTGCACCACTTGACTCCTGCGCCCTGTAGCACGGGCTTTATAAAACCCCACCAGGCAACGAGGCAGCTGTTTGAATTGTATCGTAGTAATATTTTCATTTTTTTTGCCATCAGAATTAAAATTTTTGATGAAAGACGGTCGGGAAAAGTCGTCTAAATCCTCTCCCTGCTAATCTGCATATTTTATAATTTTCCCAAAAGCCTGGCAGTTACTCCCTAAATCTCCTCTTAAGTCTCCATTGAGAGCCGTTATTTAGATTTAGCAATCTATTAGCAACCCGGCGAGCTGTTTGAGGTGGGCTTGTCAAAATAAGAGCTTTTAATTGCTGAGCTGAGCCACCGCCTCTCGCCACGGGCGTCGTTGTGGTGTGTGCTTGCTTTCTGGGAGGTGGAAAAAGTGGAGAGAGGTGGCGTGAAGCCTTCCAGCTGCTCGCACGGCTGCGTGACGGTGTGATGCTGTGGGATGGGCAGGGGAGTGGGAAGTGAAACGCCGGGAGTGGTGGGAGTCTGGTTAGACCACAGAGCGAGGACTTCTCCCTGTGCTGCCACCGCAGAGGGCTCTGATGCACCGTGGAGGGGGTTGCCGTCATCTTTGTAGGAGATGCTTCAAATAAATAACTGAAGGGGAGTCAAGGGGTGACAGCCCACCTAGGACTTGGTGGTGATAACTGGGTGGGGCTCGGTCAGCTAACACACCACACCTGGGATTTGGGTTCTCTTCTGCTCTGGGGCTTCACATGCTCCAGGTTTTCCATGGCTAACTATGGATAGTCTTGCAGAGTAAATACTTGTGTATATTTTTCCAGGAGTGTTTTAACCAGAGCTTTGTTGCTTCTGTGCCAACGTGTGTGTTTGGCAAACCCTCACCTCCACTGCTTCCCACCGCTCTGCCAGCAGCGCAGGCAGGGGAAACTCCCGTTTCGTCCCCGCGCTGGAGGGATGCTCGCCAGGGACACCCGGCTCCGGCTCCTGCCTGGGGACTTCAGCCTTGGGAACAGTCTGTCTCCGCTCCCCAGTGCTGCCGTGGTGTGGATGAATGGCTCTGCCTCTCACTCCCAGGGTGCAGGTTGGTGAGACCTGCAGCTGCCACCTCCATAATGCAGCAGATACATCAGGGAAACTTTTTTTGGGTCTAGTTTCTCATTCAGAAGATGTGCCATTTGCTGCTGCAGGTGGTGATGATGAGGCTGGGAGTGTGGTCAGCCCGTGCTGGGGTGGTGGCATTCCCTAGCTGGGAGTGTGCGCCTGCCCGATCCATGTTTGGGGAGCCGGTTGTGCCCGGTGGAGGTGGGAGCAGCTGCCGGGGGTGCTGGCGGCTGCTGCTGGCTCTGCATCAGGGCGGCGCAGGGATGCGGTGCAGGGGTGGGAGAAACTTTCTTCTTCTGCTCTAAGCGACTGCTGCTGGAGGTTTGAGGACGGCTGTAGTGAGAGTGGTCAGCACACTGAACCGGGTTTAGGCATGGTGTAAAAACGCTTCTTTAATTAAAGATGCTGCAGACATGGGTGGGGAGCAGGAGGAAGGGAGAGCTGCTGCTTCGTTTGGGCAGGCCCTACTCCTGGTGCAACAGGATCCATTCAATTGCTGCTGCTCCAGGTACGGGGATTAGATTGGTTTAGATTTTTATTTTTTAGCTTTTTTTTTTACACTTTCCCTAAGCAGCGGTTAATCCCGGGTCTTGCTGTCTTAGCGTGGTTGTTTTCAGAGCACCTTTTCTCTAGCTGGCTTTTGCTTGCAGCTTGACAAGCTGCCTGCACCGGGCCCTTTGGACAACCGGGATGCTGAGCCGGACTCAGGGCACGCCAGGAGCATCCGCCCGCAGCAGGCTGAGCCCGTACCGGACAGCTGACACGGGACAGCGATTCGGCATTTTTGGCACCTGCCCTGGTGGGGTTTCAAAGCAAACAAGCTCTAGGGTTGAGGATTAATGAGACTAAGTGGAGTATGAACAGTATCTGCTGGTGTTTTAGCAGCCCTGCTGCCTGTTAATGCCCTTGAACCATGAACAGTGACAAATGTTTTCCCCGCTCATGTTTTAAAATCCAAAACCTTAACTCTAAGAAAACCTTAGCCTGGCCTAAGAAGACCCTTTTTCCCCAACTTCATCTCCTCTTAGTAGGCATTTTAAATTCACTTTACGATTTTAAGTTCAACTTGCAAAACGCTTCCTGGTGTCAGCCCAGTCTCCTCCCTCAGCTGCAAGCATCTGTGGCAGAAACGCTTTGTTATATGCAAGGTGGAACTTGGACAGAACAAAAAGCTGATTTTTAAACTATTGCACAGTTTTGTTTCTTTTGAAAACAGAGGTTTCTAATCGATCGAGAACCTTGCATGTGCTTGGCAGCTGGGAGCTGGAAGCTGATGGAAATGGAGCCCATGGTGTTGCCCTGTCCACCTGAGAGCCCTCCTGAGGGCTGCAGGCACTGGCAGGGACCCGCATCGCCTCTGCCTTGTCACAAGTTTGCAAGTGTTTTTAAATGAAGTTATAGGAAGTTGGAAATTCAATATTGAAGAGTTACATTTAATTAGAAGAGCACTGTTACTTTCAGTATATTCAGATACCTTGTTTACTATGTGTTATTTTAACACACTCTCCATTGGATTGGGAGGACCCATCTTTAACTTGCCGGGTGCCGTGACCTCCCCTGGGAAGCCTGCAAGGGCCACAGCGATGGCTGGGTCTCTGCTAGAGCCCCGTGTTGCCGGTTGCAAGTATCTCTCGTGGCTTCATGCAAGGGGATGCTCTCTTCCTGTGGAGCTGCCCTGCTTCCCCTCTGTTTGAGTTTATTCTGCTGCAATTCCCCTCATCCTTCCCCTGGCTGCTGTGGAGCAGAGGGGCTGTCGTCCAGCTCCTGTGACACCAGGTTCTCAATCACCTGTGACATCTCATTCTGCTTTAAAATAAACCCCCAGCAAGACAAGCTGGCTATCCCCAGCACCCCACGGGTCTTTTTGAGGAGTTTGTGATGTAAAACTGTCTGCTTCATTATCTCTGGTTTTATCTGAGATTTTAAAATAGCAGAAGTATACCTTTTTTTTTTTTTTTTTTTTTTAAGCTAAATCCCAAGTCTGCATGCACCAGTGCGGTGGTGAGACATTTCAGGTGGACTTGAGGGTTTGACAGGAGAGCAAGTGTAAAGGAGAGTGCAGTTTCCATCGTCCTCCGTGGGGTCCTGGGGTAAAACCTGGAGCCGCTGTAGAAACCCAGGGCTGAAGGACTCTCCAGGTCAGGACTAGAAGAGATGCGTAGAAGACAAATTATATTCCTAACGACTTGAATTGCTTGATAAAGATATATTCTCCTTCAAGAAGGAAAAATTGCCTGGCAGATGGGCACAGGCTGCAAGTACAGGCAGCAGCCATCCTGCATAGGGCAGGAGAGTGGTGGACGTGAGCAGTGACCTGTCCCGGTGGGGTGTAGGATGGGCTGTGGTCCTGGGGGGATCGGTGGCTGAGCAGCGGTGGGGACCCCGGGTTCCAGTCTCGGTGTTGCCTTGGCTTTGCTAAATGACCTTATGTACGCCTCTTTGTTCTCCGTGCTTTTGCTGGGGCAGAGAAGTGAATTTTTGCGGTTCCAGCCGCCTTATTTCCAAAGAACAGCACGGTGTGTTCAGAAGCTGGAAGCTATTAATACAAATATTTGACTTTTTTTGAGCTAAAAGCTAATTTTTCCCTTTTCTGGTTGCCCCGACAGTGTGCCGGGGAAGAGAAGCGGGTTGGTACGCGCACCGTGGTGGTCGGGCACCGTCCGGTTTTGGAAACAGATGCGTACGTGGCACAGAAGTTCTGCGACAACAGGATCGTGTCCTCCAAGGTGAGCTTGCTCTGCTCCTGCCAGTCCGTCGTGCGCATCTATTCCCTGCTCGTGTATTCACCCTGATTTTATTTGATGGTTGTTTTTGAAATTGAGAAACTCTGCATTCCTCAAGGGTGGATGTAAAGGTCCCTTTGCAAGTGGAGCAGCCTGGTACATACCTTACGCCATAGCTCCGGTCTCCCTATTAGTCTTTTTTTTTCTTCCTGTCAGTCCCAGTGGGGGTGCGTACAAGTTCCTTTCTTCTAGGCTGGATGAGAGCAAAGCACATGGACACATTGGTTTCGTGGGGTTTTTGGGGTGAGGTGGTTTGTTTTTTTTTTTTAATGTTTTCTGGCATTCCCGTCGTGAAGAAAGGACAGGTTAAGTGTAATACAGCACCAGACGGCAGCAACTCAGATTTGCAAAAAGGAGGGGGGATTATTTTATAAATGGACAGAAAAATAGGATTCCTTCCCCCACCCCTTTTTTTTTGTTGTTGTTCCGTGGGTGGTTTTCTCTTTTGAGATAGGACAAAAATAACCATTTGGATGAAAATATCCCTTTGGATGAAAGGGGAAACATTCATATGGTATTAATGCCGCTTTTGTTTATGGTGGAAAACTGTGATGACACCCGTCTGCCTTCTGCTTAGCTTTTTTCCATGACATTCATGAAGCTATTTCAAAAGATTTGAAGCCAATTCGAGTAAAACATCAAAAAAGTGGCATTCCATATTGTCAACACAGCTGGATACATATTACGTTGCTTAGGATTCATGATGCTCAGCATACAGTTAGGCTTCATTTTTACTGTACTTGAGCTATAAGGGGGTTTTTCCCTCTCTTTTTTTTTTTATACAGCTTGGATCTTTTTTGTTTTTATGTCTCTAAGCCATCTGCGTTTGTATTGGGGAAAAGTTTTAAGTCTAACCATGTTTAACTCGTTCAGCATTCCCATTGATGCTTCCCTGGCACTTCAGAGAGGACACCTTCCCCATTTCAGTTCCCTCTCTGACAAAATGGTTTGTTTTAGCACTAATTTTAGTTCTTCCCTGATTTATTTTTGAATGTTGTGTCCTTGCTCTTTTTTTCCATTTATATTTGCTGGGCATGGAGTCTTCTTACCTGACCAGTCTCTTTTTATAATTAAGTGGACATTGGTCTTGAGGCTTGGCTGCTTATTATTCTTTGTTTATTCAAGGCAGACTGAAAGATCAGGTATTAGACCCGTTATTTTCCATGTTCTTAAATTCCACATGTTTTCCAAAGTAAATCGTTCAGCAGCCTTCTTAAAATGATAATGAAGCACAACCTAATAACAAATTTGTATAGGCAACATGGCTTTTTTTTTGTAACAGAAGAGCAACTCTAAGATGGTTTTTGGAATTTGTTTGGAAAAAAAAAATCTCTGCAACTGTGCATTACCTCTTCATGAAATCGTATCTCTGCAAATGCCTATCTAGAAGTTGTTTGCTGAAACAGATCCTGTTGTTTTTATCTTCTTTTACCCTTCACCATCTCCAACCGTGTGGTTTGGGTTATTTTGACAAAAGAGAAATAGTTGCCTACTTTAAAGCAAACAAAAAAACCCAAACCTTGTAACTGAGAGACACTTCCAGCTGTTTAATGACCCAGCAGAGAGAGCCGGTGCTGGAAGCTGAAGCAGGAGCTCAGCAGCATCTCAGCATCCAGCTGCATCGTGCTCCTGGTTTTAAAGTTGGGACCTGGACCTTTGCCTGGAGCGCACCAGGGCTGCTCAGGCAGCTCGCTGCGGTGCTCCTTGCCGGGTTAAAGGGAAAACTCCTTCCCCATTTTGTGCAGATACTTCCCATTTTGTAGCTTAAGTCCCCTGTCAGCCCCGTGCCTCGGTCTGTTTGTGAGCCCCCCTCTCTCCCCGCAGTACACCCTCTGGAACTTCCTCCCGAAGAACCTTTTTGAGCAGTTTAGAAGAATTGCCAACTTCTACTTCCTCATCATCTTCCTCGTGCAGGTAAGAGGTTTGATGCTGAGGGTGTGTGTTATTTACGTACTGATGGTAAGCACAGCTCGAACAAGAATTGAGGTTCAAAACTGACTGTGGTGCTTATGAGTGGTTTTGGTTTTTGTTGTTTTTTTTTTTAATTGGAAGCTCTGTTATAATTCTGGCACACCATCCAAGGCATAATAACAATTAAAATATTTGGGCCTGTCTGAGATGATGTTTGAATGACTGCTGAAATAATTAGAAAAACATCTTAACTTTTTAACCGTTAAAATCAGTCAACCGGTGAAAATACATTTGGTGCTACAGAATTAAGATCTAGTTTTTTGTCATCTTTATTACTTCTGCGTAACAATGTATTTTCCCAAGTTATATGATATTTGTGTATCTTAGTTATAGTGAGTTTCAAGGCAAGCAGGAGAGATAGGCTGTACGCAGTAAAAATCAGAAAATGCATAGCATGAGCTTTGGGAATGTGAAGCTGCAGGAAGCTGCCCTACACAGGCAAAGTAGCAAATTTTATACATGGACAAACTTTTTTGCTCTGCTTTGTGGCTTTGGTTAAGGAGCAAATCCTGAGCAAACCTGAATAGTCATTTTCTGCTCTGTCAGCCAAGAAGAAAAGCGGGCTGCCCAAATGCATTGGGGCAAAGAGAGTTTGGGAGAATCACCGCACTGCATTTACTCACCTTTTAAATCCTGTGCTCAGGCCTGGGGCTCAGCGGACAACCTGCTCTAGGGCTGAAAATAGGCATCAAAAACTCTACCCCAAATTAAATTGCAAATTAAATGGCACCGTGTAGTTGCTGCAAACAGCCTGCTTTTAGATGACTTCTCCGGGGTTTTGGTGGTTCAGGTCTGGGGTATCACTCTCTTCTAGGCTGCATGTTCAAGAGATGAGTGCCTAAAACGTTTTCTGCTTACAGTAAAGAGTTATGGCTTATAGTCATTTCGGTGGCTGACGCAGAAACAGGGGGTCCCAAGATAACAGCCGAGGATGGCTCCTCCTGGCAGTGTTACACGAAAGGCCAATTCACCCCGACAGCAGCTGGCTCTTCTCCACCACTTGATTTCACTGGTGGTGTGCCATTTTTGTCAGAGTGAATTTGTAATTTGCCTTGAACTGAAGCGATGCCCCGGAGTCGGGATGTCCTTTTTGCGTAGTTGGCCATTTAGTGATGCAGTATTACATTTTATCTGTTGACCCTCTGGCCATGAACATGGGACATTCTTGATTATACTCACAAAACTGGTTGCAGTTTAGCTGCTTACCCATTTTAGGCACAGGGGTATGCAGGTGAGAGAGCCTTCCTATTCCTCCCTGTTTTTATTCTGTGATCTGTGCTTACCTCTACAATAAGGAAGCAACCCTCATGCTCTATTAGAGAAAAAACCAAACCCAACCGAACAAAAACCAGCCTGACAGCACTAATACACATGCTGCCCTATAGAGTAACTGACTGCCCCGGGCACTCGTTGTGCTGGAGAGGTCACTTGCCTTAAAAAAGCACTCGGGGCAACTCCATTCATTTAGAATATCCAGGGTTATACCCTGATAAATGGCATCTATAGCTTAAATGTTGGTGCTTATATTTAAATTACTTTAATAGAATTGCCCTGCGTGCTGCGTTAGGAGCAAGGTATCACGGCGCTTGGGGAATTGCCTGGTGCATCTGCTCTACCTGCTGCTGAAACCCTTTATCAAAATGTCTATTACTCTGAGACTCCAAATTCAGCTCTTGTTTTAGAGAGAGGAAGAGAAAGTACATGCATTAAACATATAACACCTATTAGTGCACTAACAGGGATACAAATAGCCGTTGCTTTGGTTCATCTGTTGCAGCACTCAAAGGAAACTGTGAGTAAACTCCTGCTGGAAACGGCTGGCCTGGAGTAAGCATAGTCCAAGTATGTTTGTAGACAGACCAAGCTGGTGGCAGTAAGCTAATTTAGGAGGTGCCAGGAATGAAAAATGTCCCTTTTGATTGATGGAGATGACTTCTGGACTGTGGTCTTCAGTCTCCTAAACAATGAGTTAGGAAGAAACTATTAAGTAACAGGAGGATTTTGTCACTTTTAAGTGGATCCAAATTAAGCTGTTGAAGTCTGAAAACAGCTCAAAAGTAGGTTCAAAGGAGTCTGCCTTTGTTCTGGCGTGTTGCTTGCGTGACCCTCGGCTTTCCACCGGCAGGAGCGGTATCCAGCCATGGGATGCGCAGGGAGTGCAATCTCCAAATACACAAATGAGTTATTATGTGGACTTCATCTAATATTTGCATTCATACATCTATAATACAGCATTTGTGTGGACAGAAATTGTATCGTTTGTTTAAACAAACACAACTGCATCTTGTCCAGTGCAGAGAACTCTCCCGCTGGGCAGCAGCAGGTCCTCTCCCTTGCCCTTCTCAGCTAAAAGCCAAAGTTCCTCTTGTATTTCCAAGGTCTGTCCAATTTTCACAAGATAACTTTTGGCTGACTGGCCTAAATTTCAATGATGCCACTCCAGTGCGTGTCCATCACACGTGCTGTGTGCGATATGTCCGTGTGACACTTGGCACCATCCTCACTCAAGGTTGTTCCTCCAAAGTCTGGTTTCTACCAAGAGTTTCTGTTTGTAAACATTTTACACCCATTTGAGTGAGCCAGGGCTTTGTGTTCCTGGAAATATTTGTTGTGTTTGTCTTGGTTTACCCTCATACGACTTAACTCATACACCACTTACCTGGCTGCTTCTTGTGGTGTATCTCTCTCACTTCAATATCTTCTGGCTCTTCTTTCTTTGGGTCCAATAGTGCAGGGTAAAATTGCAGTGTACGGCATTTCATAGAGTTAAAAATTTCCACATAGCTTCCTCCCAGCCGATAAGAGCAGTCCTGTCCTTAACACAGCATTTTACGGGCAGCCTAAAACAATAAATGTACAGATGCTGCTGTTTGCGAGCGTGCCAGGGAAGCGCAAACAAGCGGAGGGAGACAAAGTCCCTTTGTGGGGACACAAAGCCTTTCTGCTGAGCTTCCCCGTCCCTTTCATCACAGCCCTCACCATCTGCCTCTCGTGCTCCCATCCTCTCTGGGGACAGCAGGAAAAAAGGCCAATTTTGTGTGCCCTGGTTTGGAAGGTGGGGCAAGGGCGCAGCTTTTCCTCCTCTTACGTTATTCCCCCCCCAGTTATGAACCTGTTCTGCCATTCTTACCCTTAGGGCCAAGTGATGATACAGTCAGAAGAAACAGCGGTTTCCCACAGCCTGAAGGTTTAATTAGTGATGAAGGGGCTTGGTCTTTGCCGCAGCACTAGCTCGAGTGCTGCACTGAACTTGGGAAGAATCCAGCTATCCACCCCAAGGCCCTCGTCCGGTCTCTGCTTAAACTGTGCTCTTAACTCCAAATTTCAGAGCTTGTTTTACTTAAATATTCATGTTCCATTCTGCAATATATTTCCTAGCTAATTTGGGCTGATGTGTGTTATTTTTTATCTGAGTGTCAGTAGTTCGAGACGACTGGTACTGTCCTCCCTCTCATAACCAGCCATGTTTTAGGGTTCAGATGTGCCCCATCCTCACTGCCAAAGAGGAGAAACGGCCCTCCCATGGCTCAGTGAGAAATGAGGGTGTTTTTCATTTCATGCATTGCTGCTGCTTCTGTCCCATCCTCCTTCCCTGCCTCGGTCCTCTCCAGCACGTCCCGTGGCGGGAGCAGGCTTGTTGGCATCCGCACTTCCAGTAGTTGTGTTTGTGTAGCCCATCCCCAGCAGCCCATTCATCCAGGCTTTTACTTCCCATTAGTGCAAGGTCAAATTTAGGGTTTAAGCTACTTCTGATAAGGTTTTTCCAACCTGAGGACATCCCACGGTCTTCAGGAGGAGGGATTGTAGTCTTCTCGAGATGGAGAGCACTCCTGGGGACGTCTGTGCCCGTCCTTCTCGTGTGCCCCTTCCTTCCCTCCCTTCTCTGCTGGGCCGTGACTTACCCCCAGGGGGCTGAGCACCATTTTTCCCCCGTTACTAGAGTTTTTGTTTCTTCTGCTGCCTGAAAACCAGTTGTCATCAGTACATTTTTTCCTCTCTGCAGGTGATAGTGGACACCCCGACCAGCCCGGTGACCAGCGGCCTCCCGCTTTTCTTTGTCATCACTGTCACAGCTATCAAACAGGTACAAGTGTCAATGTGGGGAGAGGAAGATGCTCTCTGGGACACGTGGTAGAGAAAATGATGAGCATGTATTTGAATATACTCGGAAGTCACCAAAACGGGCTGGTAGGTTTGGTGAACCCTTCTCAGAAGGTCAGACACGTATACTGGTGCTTCTCAAGAGAGGCTGCATGTTGAATGTGGTTATTGGCCTCTCTCTTGTTTTGGCAATGTAAACCATCTCCATATGTACCGTTGTAAGCAAACCGTGAGGGTCAGTAAAGGTTACCGCTGTAGTTCTAGCTTTACTTGAATTTTTCTTCTCTTTTTAGAAATGCTCTCCAAGTCTTTGCAGGATGCAGAGACGTGCTCCAAATATAGCCCGCGCTCTGCTCCCGTGTTGGTGAATGGAAGGGACAGGTTCTGTTCAGCCACTCAGCTAGTCCTGAAAATATGTAATCCTCATCTTCTTGCGGAGTTAAAAAGACCTTTTTCCTCCCATCGTACACACATGTGCCATTTAAAATTTCCTCTGCAGAAGGATTGAATAATAAAAGAAGTTTCTTCTGCAGGGGCCAGAAAGGGAGAGCTAGAGCAAAATCCATCTGCTTCAAATCTGAATGTTTTATTCTTTCAGTGAGGACTGAAGAGGAAGAGTCTTGTCCTGCGTTACCATAGGAAAGAGTTGCAGGGTGCTAAGTGTACTATTCATATTATCAGCCTGTTCTTGCCAACACTAAGAATAATAGAAACATGTTACAGTAGTTTAGCTGCTCGTTGCATGCGCTGCATATAGATTATTTTCGTGTGTTATTTTAATCTGTTCTGAATCTGTCAAATATGCATATGAAATTTTTAAAATAAATTGATTCAGTCTGAGCTACTGTAGTTGATGTTTTGTCAGGCGTGAAGGAGGTCTGAGGACTGCTTAGTTTATTCATTTTTTTTCAATCTCTCCCTCTCTCTCCGTCCCCACTCATCCTCTTTCGTTGGTTTACTTGCTTCGTTACAAGTGTGTTGCCTGTATTTGTGTGCCCAGGGATATGAGGACTGGCTGAGGCACAGAGCTGACAACGAAGTGAACAAAAGCAATGTCTTCATTGTCGAAAATGCAAAGCAAGTGCAGAAAGAGAGTGAAAAAATCAAGGTAACTGTTAACAGAGAACTCACGTGTAGTTATCCTTGAAACCGATGGGGACACGAGGGTGTGTGGCAAGGAGGTGAGGGCAGGGGAGGAGGGATGTGCTGCGGTTGGAGCCGCCCCGGTGTGCTCACTTTCAGACGAGATGCTCAGAGAGCTGTTCCCAGTTAAGGAGTGAAGCTGCCTTTGTTTGATTGCTTTTGAAAAGCTGTCTTGCAAAAGCTGCAGACAAGTGACAGATATGTCAGCGTTTTGCACTCCTCCGGGACAGGCAGTCCTCTTCTATTTCCAACTCTCCCAAGGACACCAGGGAACTACGCTAGCTTTGACGTTAATTTATCACACCGCACTTCAGACAAGTACAGAGTCTTTTGCTCCATCGAGATTTAGCAGAGAAATAAATACTAACTGTGCCACGTGGGTGCTCTGAGTTGGTGCTGGGCTGGATTGACCCGTCGGGCTGTGGAGTGGTGCCTGGGGACCCGTGCACCTCTTGAACCTGATTTCCCTTTTAGCCAAGGTGATTTCTCTTAGGCTTTGAGAGAAGCTAAATCTGTAACCATCTAATAACAACCGAGAGGGCTTTTCATTTAAACGTTTCCTTTCTTCCAGGTTGGAGACATAGTAGAAGTGAAAGCGGATGAGACCTTCCCCTGTGATTTGATATTTTTAGCCTCAAGCAGCATTGACGGGACCTGTTACGTCACTACAGCGAGTCTCGATGGCGAGTCCAATTTCAAGGTGACAGGGGTGGATGGGGCAGCGTTCGGGAGCCGGTGCTCGGGGGTCCTCGGGTGCCTGGAGCTGCCACTGAAGCCGGCGCTTGCGCGGGGGGGAGGTGTGCTTAACAGGAGGATGCTCCCGCGGAGCCCATCCCCGTGGCTGCATGGCTGTATTTAACAGCTCTGCCTTCCATCTGCTCCCAGTGCTTCAGCATCGAAGCCACCTGGGGGTTGTTTGTTTTCCCTTTTGTCTCCAACAGCCATTTCTGCTGGCGCTGCCCCGAATTGTATCGATATCTATCGATACGGTTCCGCTGCCTTGTTGCCCATCATGGGAAGCGTGTTAGTGCTTCCCTGCTCCTGCTCCTCGTGAGGTCTGGTGCGTCGGCAAAGCAGTGCCTGCAGCTGCTTCAGCTCCCTTTCCAGTACCTGCCAATGCGGCTGTTATTTAATCGAGCTTTTCCAGTGAGATCGGGGACTTCTTGAGGCAGTACGTCTAGATTCATTTGGGGAATTTTTCACCAGCGTGAGGAAAACATCACTTCTGGGGTTTTTTTCTCTCCCTTTCCCTGAATCAAGCAGTGATATTTAATACTAGTCCTGCTCAGGATGAATCTCCTCTTCAGTTTTTTTTCTTTCTTTCTTCATCCCCCCTCTCT